GAGGTGGTTGGATAATTCGCATAACATAGGACCAACTTGTCAATTTTGAAACCACTAGGGAGGTAATGGTTTAAACCCTTATTTTAATTAGACAGTCTCACAACCATAATCTATAATTGGTTTTGGATTTAATAAAATTCACCTTGAGGTCTCTTGAAATTTCCTCATAAGGTATTGTATAAAAATTTTTTATCATCATGGTTAGAGGTTTTGGTGTTTAATTTAGAGGGATTAAGTTATCTTAATAGTTAATAGTATTTTATATAAAATAATTAATTAATAAATTATTAAAGTCGTTGAAATTCAAAAGAAGATAATAAATAATAGTTCACTTTAACGAAGGATATAATTAAATCAAAGAACGCGACTGATTATTAATACATGAATCATTAACATAAACCATTGATAAATAACAAATATTCTCTCCATTAACTTCCATTGGGGCTATGTAGGGTATCCCATGACAGTCTCTCAATATACAAAATCAAAGTTAACCCCTAATACACTTACACTCCTTATCATCAAAATTTATGAACATAAAGTCAAGATTTATGATGTTGGTGATGTTTGGATTATGGGCAGTTTAAACGAAGTTGATTACTCTTTAATAATGCTGTAAGCTGCCATTGTTTTTGGGTTCTGTTTTTAATTGTTCCAAATAAGAGTTTGTTAGAGTTGGTTTTATATAAATTTGATTTGATTTTGGTTTTTAGGGATGAATGATTATAGAGCTCAAATTATAGTTGGAAAATAAAGGAAGAACATATGCAATGATTCACAAAAAATTGAATCAATTTTTTTCTTTTACAAATTGGTAATAAAAGAAAGGATTTACCCATTTTCTGGGTTATTTGGGTTAACGGTCAAAAGAGGGGCAGAGGGTCTCCATTGTAGTTTTGGACATTCAACAATATTTTTAATATATCATAAGACGTGAAGCAGGACATAGCATAATTTTTTATTAATTTGTTGTTTTAATTGATTTTTGTTGGCATAGTGTAAAATTCTTAAATTTTAGTTTTTAATTAACTGAATCTGACCAATGTTTAGATACCCGTAGATAAATCAATGAATGAATATGTACTTGTATGGATAGGCCTTGTAAGATTAATGGTTGTGTGAGAGGAAAAGGAACTATTCTAGCGTCAATAGTTTAAATAAAAATTACACTTAGGGTGCGTTTGGTTCAGAGAATATTGTATTATTAGAATGTTATATTAATTAAAGATAAGTTATCTTGAAGATTATTAGGATATTTAGGAAAATGTGTTTGGTTAGGTTGGAATAAATTATGGAGTATTTATATGATATGTTTGGTTGGGAGGTGAATGAGTGGCACGTTATATGATTGCTAATGTCTCCTTTAAATTATTGTATAACATTAATTTTGTTATTATTTTTTATTATTTCTTTAAACCCCTACATATGAAATTTTGCTAAAGCACTCTAGCCATGTAAAACTTTAATTTTAGCAAAATCACCCCCACCTATCCCAAGCCATTGCCGTATCTGGCCACCACTGTCGACACCATTAATTGTCACTGGAATGGTGCACAACGGTCGGATATGGCCAGTCATGCAATGATAAGGTCATTTCACTGCCAGGATGTGGTCGTAAAACGACCAGATCTTGGCATGCAAAGGCTAGATCTTTAGCTATGATCGGCTGTTTCTGACCAGATTGAGGTTGAAATAGCCAGGTCATCGTGGACTTGGTCGTTTCTAGCCTTTGATCTAGCGAAAATAGCTGGATCGACACATAGCCGGCCAGATCCTACAGATCGTTGTCGATATGGTGACTGTTGCCATCGCCGTGGTGGTCTTAGTGGTTAGGGGTATTTTTTTAACTTTTAAACTTTTTTCTGGCCAAATGTTTTAGCTAAATTCTCAAATGTAGGGATTTGGGTAATGATTTTGGTAGACATTTGAGGTAATTCTGTCTGAAATAATATTTAATTAAAGGCAAATAGGTATAAAAAAAATTACCTCTGTAATTTTTAATAACACCCCTTGACAAGATAATCTGATTATTAACTATATTATCAATAATAAATACTATTTAAAATAAAAGATTATCGTAATATTTTATTAGTTGTAATTCAAATAAAAAAATCTCGAAAATTAAGCGTGGATTATCGGAATAATCGTAAATGACCCCATCCAAACGCATCCAAGTATAATAGATGATAGGCGTATGAATATTAAGTTAGTGTAATAAACGCATCCAATGTTAACGGCCCAATAGCCAAGAAAATAAGAAAAGGGGGCATCTTCCGGAAAATGATGAATTAGAATGTAGAGAAGAGCTCATTAATTGCTCATTCAGATTGCAGACGAAGGCAGATCAATGAACGCATTATTATACGATCTTGCAAAAAGATATTACAATCAGTATATTTTATTATTATAAACTAGAAAATCTAGTAATATTTTATTATTTATAATTAAACATAAACTAAAATAATAAATAATCAAATATACCAAACAAATCTAAAATTAATAAAATTATGACACAATCTTAATGACCATCCAAACGCATCCCAATATTAACAGATGATAAGCATATGAAATTAAGGTAGTGTAATAAACGCACCAAGTTCACGGTCCAATAATCAAGACAATAAGAAAAAGAGGAGCATCTTCCGAGGAAAATGATGAAATTAGAAACGTAGAGAAAGAGTTCATTAATTGCTCATTCACATTGCATTTCTCAGTCAAGTCAAAAGTGACAAAACGCAGTAACGCATCTTTCCAAGAAAAAGATAGTACGATGACAGATGGAAGATAAAGTCAATTATATGTAAAACCCTTTTCCTTTCAATTAATTCATTATAAATTCATCTTGATCCGATTCAAAATTTCCGAAACCCACCTGATTAAATCACTTCTATTGAAACCCAGTTTCAAAATTTTATTTATTGTGCAATTGGCCGTATTCACAGTCTGGGATATGATAACCAAGAAAGGTCTGTTGACAGTCAATGACGATCAAATCTTAGCCATCGTTAACCATAACGAACCATATCTTTGGTATCGCTACGATCAAATCTGGCCTTTTGTGCCGTTGACGGCTAAATTTCGTGGGATTTGGTCGAAAAAAGTCATATCGACTCACGATCATTAGATCCGACGGTCTATGTCGCAATGCCATTTCTTGCTAGATTCTGATAGTGGTAGCCAAAATCTTACTAAGATGAATGAGAGTATTTTTTTATTTATAAATTTTATATATTGGGATTTTAGTTAAATTAGTAAATTTAGGAGTTTTTATTAATTTTTAAATTTATCTCGTAATCACTTTATTAATTACTAATATTATTTTTAAAATTTTATCCAAAATAACAAAACAAAGATAATATATTAAAAATTAATCTCATCTAGACTACCAGCTCATTATGATCAAAATATAAAAACTAAGAATTAAAGCAGATGATAAGGATGAAAATATTAAATTATTGAAAAATCACATCACCGCCCATATATCTAAGTCAAAAAGGAAAAAGGCAGGGTGTTTTCCAGAAAGAGATGGGAGTAAAAAGAAGGCAGGGCATCTTCATGGAAACGGCTTAACGACATCAAAGGGATGATTTACAGGCTGTTTTTTTTTCTTTCTTTTGGTCTTAGTTATTATCGTATATAATCAAAAAGCTAAATTATTTTGTTGTTATTTGAACACAAAAAAATTTAAATTAATAACAAACTCTTTTTGCCATAATACTCATATCAAATTTATGAAAAATCTGATAAAATAAACTGTAATAATGGTTTAAACTCTAATAATTGGGCTTTTTGCAAGATTGCATTTAAGATCATCATAAATATTTTTTGAATGATATTTGATTGATAATTTCTTTATTTTTTTAAATTAAAATAGGGTGGTGATTTTGAACTTTTACCTGTATAATCACTCTGGATCTATAAAATGTTAAGAATTTTAGAGTTAATGAATCCACCTGGGTTTTATTGAATATCAAAATCTCTCGAGGTTTCAAAAATAACAAAATCTATTATTGTTAGAACTTAATTATAAGTAATAGATATTAACTTGATAATCATCAATTTTGACACTAAAACTTAACGATTCATAGGTAATAATAGATTTTTGTTATTTCTAAAACCACAAAAAAATTAGTATCATTAGCTGTAATTTTTATTACCCCATTGTACTTATGATTTTATAAATCCTTGTTTAGTTCATTTGCAAAAAGTGATTAATGGTTAAACAAATAGAAATTACATTATGTATTCAACCAGTTAGGGAGTTGATGATATACACCGAATGGTTGTCATTTTGAAATTTCTCTTAGATTTTATTGTCAGCAATGGATGATCTTGTCGGAATATAATTTAATTAGTATATTGGATGAAGCTACTGCTAGTAATGAGGTCATTTTGGTTTTTGGGTAGTTGAATGTTGATTGTCCTTAATACTATTGGAAAATAAAGCAATAGACATGCTAATTCAAAGAAATTCCATTAGTTATTAGAGAAAGACTTTTAAAGGAAAAAGTAGAAAGAGGAAACACTTTTCCATCGTTTACTTCAAAGAAAAGCAATTCATTGAGAAATTTCAAAGACTTAGTAAATAGGTGTGAATGAAATTTCATGAGGTTTTAGTTGAATAGTGTCAAAATCACACCCAATGGTAACGGCCAAAGTCAAGAAAAATAAGAAAAAAGGGAGCATCTTCCGGGGAAAATGATGAAATTAGAAATGTAGAAGGGTAGATTAGGAATTGTGATGATTTGGAAACTTCTGGGAAATTTCCTGTTTGGGAATAATGAATTGTGGTCAGAATCACACCAGATGTGAATGGCTTATTGTTTTTTTTTGGGGTTGCAATTATGCGACTAGTCAAAAGGAAATAAAAAAAGGCAACGGCATCTTCTGAAAGGAGATAAAGTTTAAATGCTTAGATATGGAAAGACTCAATTATAAGAGTCCTGGTTTAGCTCTTTATGTTTTTGTTAATGTCAAGTAATTCTCATCACTGGAACTTAATGGCTGTTGCTTCTTCTCTGCTTCTCCTCAAGAAAAGTATGATGTTTTTCTTAGTTTCAGAGGTGCGGATACCCGCAATCTTTTATTCCCATCTGGATGCTGCGTTGTGTCAAAAAAAGATCAATGCATTCATTGATGACGAAGAGCTTAAAAGAGGGGAGCAAATCTCTCCATCTCTTTTGAATGCAATTGAGCAATCAAAGATTTCGTTGATCATTTCTGAAGGGTATGCTTCTTCGAGATGGTGCCTGAAGAACTTGGAGGATTCTGAATGCAAGAACAGTTATGGTCAGATTGTAATTCCGTTTTCTATGGTGTTATCCATCAATGTGAGGAATCAGATGGGACTTTTGGGAGGCTTTGTGAGCTTGCAAGGATAGGCAGGAAATGTTACAGAGATGGAGGACTGCTCTGAGAGAAGCTGCCAATCTTTCTGGATTTGATTCGATGTCATCAAGTAACTTAATAGCTATTATATGTCTTTTAATGCATAATCTTTTATTCTGCTCATTTTTTGTTTTAATTTGACTATTTTCTTAGAAGAAACAACGACAATATATTGATTGAACATATAATTACAAAAAAGTGAACAAACTGTGCACAATCATATTATTAAATTCATAGATTGGATTCTTCGTTTTTATTAATTTAGCACTAATCATTGATTGAACTATATAATATTTTGTTAATTATATATAAGTTAGATTATTGTTTTAGACTGAGGAGATGGTCGTAGGCGAAAAAGTAAAGTCCTTTTGATCTACTTGGAAAGAAAAAAGAAAAAAGATAATGAGAACCAATAATTTGAAGTTAAAAGAAAGTGATTTTTTATGCAATCTTGTAATGTTCTTGTTTTTTTTGTTTTTTTGTTTTTTTCAATTTTTTATTGGATTGCTAACCTAGGTGATATTCTAGTAATTTTACCGTGTGTTACTATTTAAATATGATGTCATTTGATAGAGTTTTTTTTCCATTAAGCTGTATTTTTATTTAATTGATGCAATTTCAGCTTGATATTCAAGAGATCATCGAGTAGCATAACTTTTATTGTTGTTTTTTGCATTGAGATATGGCATATATAAATACTTCAAAGTAATTAATATATTGTTAAGGAATATGCAAATGTTCAAACTCTATTGATCTCCAAATTTGAGTGCCATTTGGTCTCACATCCCAGGATGGAATATTTGCCCTTCCCTGTTTTTATGACCTTCATTGAGATTCATTTATTGGAATATATGTTGTGTACCTTTTCTTTTTTATTAATATCTAATTTGAGTTATATTCTTTTTTTGTCTTTGTTTTTTTCGTATTTGTTAGGCCCGAGTCTGAACTTGTAAAAAAAGTTGTCAAAGATGTTTTGATGAAATTGGGGGATGACTCTCCTTTAATCGGTAAGGACCTAGTTGGAGTAGATTCAAGAATCAAGGATATTGAAGGGCTATTACGCATTGGGTTTCCTGGTGTTCGCAAGATAGGAATTTGGGGTGCTGGTGGAATAGGGAAGACTACTCTTGCCAAGGCTGTAGTCAATAAAATCTCTAAAAATGGACATTTTGAAAGCAAGCACTTCTTTGAAAATATTAGAGAAGAATCAGAGAAAAGCAAGGGACGAACTGGGTTGCAGCGACAAATTATTTGTGAAATTTTAAGGGATGAAGATGCTAATATAGGATCCACCTCCACCATAAGAAGGCTTCGCCATACGAAAGTTCTCATTGTGTTAGATGATGTGACAAATTTAAACCAAATAGAACTTTTAATTGGAGATTTTAAGTACTTGGGTTTAGGAAGTCGAATTATCATAACGACGAGGGACAAACACGTATTAAAAAAATGTCACGTAGATGGCATATACGAGACTAAAATATTATCTTATTTTGCAGCTCACCAATTGTTTAGTCGACATGCTTTTAAAGATTGTCCACCAAAAGATTTTATGATGCTAACTGAAAGGGTGTTATCATATGCTAATGGTGTTCCACTTGCTCTTAAAGTTTTAGGTTCCTCTCTATTTGAGAGGACAAAGAAAGAATGGGAAAGCTATATAAAAAGATTAAGCAGAATTCCTGATAAGAATATCCAAGAGGTATTAAAAGTAAGTTATGATGGGCTAAATGATGAAGAGCAGAAGGTATTTTTGGATATTGCTTGTTTCTTTAAAGGGTATGATAGAGATCTTATAGAAGTATAATTAAACATAAAATCTTAAAAATTAAATAAAAATTATGACACAAATCTTAAATGACCCCCATCCAAACGCATCCCCAAATTATAACAGATGATAAGCATATGAAAATTAAGGTAGTGTAATAAACGCATCCCAATGTTCACGGTCCAATAAATCAAGACAATAGAAAAAGAGGAGCATCTTCCGAGGAAAATGATGAAATTAGAAACGTAGAGAAAGAGTTCATTAATTGCTCATTCACATTGCATTTCTCAGTCAAGTCAAAAAGTGACAAAACGCAGTAACGCATCTTTCCAAGAGAAAAGAGTACACTGACGATAGTGGAAGATAAAGTCAATTATATGTAAAACCCATTATTCCTTTCAATTAATTCATAATAATTCATCTTGATCCGATTCAAATTTCCGAAACCCACCTGATTAAATCACTTCTATTGAAAACCCAGTTTCAAATTTTTGTTGCACGTTTGAAAAGTTGAGCCCCATCTCAATTTGATGATCACATAGATAAAGTTAAAAGCAAATAATAGGCAATGTGGAAGGGTAGATTAGGAATTTAACAACATTGTGATGATTTGGAAACTTCTGGGTAAATGTGAAACAATTGCTGGGAATTAATAAATTTGTGTCAGAACACACCAAATGTGAATGGCTTATTTGTTGTTTGTTGGGTTGCTTATGAGCCTAGTCAAAAAATAAAAAGAGAAAAGGCAAGGCATCTTCTAGAAAAGGTGTCAAGGTTAAATGCTTAGAGATGGAAAGATTCAATTATCTAGGGGTGGATATCCGTTAATCGAACCGGATTACAAAACCAAAAACCGAATCAATTTTTCAGTTTAGAGAAATCTAAACTGAAAATCAACCGTTTTAATTAAAAACCAAATGTAAACCGAACCAAATTTTCAGTTCAGTTACCGATTTTCAAATTATCTTTTAATCCTTAAATTCTCAATTTTTCATTTAAGTCCCTAAATTCAAATATTATTATTTTATATATAATTTCAACCGTTTTTCAAATTATCCTTTAATCCTTATAATTCTTCATTTTTCATTTGTCCAACTAATTCAAATATTATTTTTATATAAATTTCATAAAATCAACATTATCAAAAGCTTGTATTTGATTATTTGGTGGACAACATAACGTTCTCTCAAGGAGAAACTTGGCTTTGACCTTGAAGTGTCGAGAAAGGCAGAGACAATCTTCATAATGTTACCAGGCTGTGAAAATTAGAGACCATTGGATTGCTCATAGTGAGGACCATCCATCGGTTTCAGAAATCAAAAACAAGTATTAGTCACAAAATACGCCGAAAATGTAAATTAAAGAGTATTAATAATATTTGTTACATAAGCTCCTTAACTATGAGCTTTACATCTCTAATCCATATTTAACAGCCTTAATCTCTTCAAAGTAGTGTAGGGTTAACTTTACACACCCTAATCTAACAACAAAATTTCCAGAAACACTCACACAAAATCCCAAAATCAACAAACAAAAACCCTCAATTTCCTTCACGCCACACGACCCCCCACCATCACCACAATTCCTTCTAACAGTGCAAAGTATCCCAAAGGCCAAAACAACACAACAGCAGCCACAACATTACTTCCTTCACTAAACAAACCGAAAGCAAAGCAAGATTAACAAAATAACAAACAAAGAATACATAAAAATCAAGAGTCTGCTCACGGTGGACTGTGAAGATCGCTGGAGAGTGGATGCAGTAGCTCACGGTGTGGATGAACAGCTCACGGTGTGATGGAGTAGCTCTGTAGCTCACGGTGTGGAAGACTGGACTGTGAAGATCGCTGGACTATGAAGATCGCTAGAGAGTGGATGCAGCAGCATAGCTCACGTGGGGATGGACTATGAAGTAGCTCTTTGCTCACGTGGTAATAGGGAGTTTAACTAGATTTGGAGGCTGAGTCGCGGAGAGAAGAGTCTAAATGTGTGTGAAGAGAAATAGAGAGGAGCCAAATTTTTTTTGCTTTTATAGTTAGGTAAAATAAAACCGTTTGAAATATTTTCAAACCGAACCGGTTTTTCAGTTTTTTGAATTCTACAAACGGAACCCGAACCGGTTTGTAAAAAAACCTAATTTTGGTTCGTTACCGGTTCGGTTCGATTTTTGGATTATTATCCCACCCCTACAATTATCCAATGATTACCTTTATGATTACCGAAATGATGTATTATTAGGAATGTTACACCTTAAATTATTGAAAATAATTAGAGAAATATTTAATTAAGTTAGAATAAATTAGTGGGTATATTTATTGAATGTTGATTGGGAGGATAAATGAGTTGGTATTTATATATTATAAATTATCTTTTATTTAAATATTAATATAATATTATTTTTTTAATCATTTCTTTTAAACCACTACGATTGAAATTTGTTAAAACACCGTAGTCATACAAACTTTAATTATAGCAAAATCAACCCCACCCACCCCAAGTCAATGCCAATAACCAACCACCACCACTGGTGCCATCGTAGTCGTATGAATGGCGTACGACTGGTGGAATTCGACCAGTCTGCATCATAAGGGTGTTTTCATGGCCAAAGATGTGGCCATGAAATAACCCTAGATCTGGGCCTAAAGAGACCAGATCACATGGATTTAGTCGTTTCGGCCTTTGATCTATAGGAAAAACATCGATCGTTGCGCGGTCAGTCAATCCTACCGATTGTCCACTAATATGGTGACTGCTGCGACGGCTGCGATGGTCTTGAATGGCTGCAGATATTTATTAACTTTTAACTTTTTGTGGCCGAAGTGTTTAGTCTAAATTCTCAAATGTTGGGATTTGGGTATGGTTATTTGGTACATTTGAGGGCTCTGAATGGTATTTAATATGGGCAAAATAAGTATAAAAATCATATTACTTCGGTAATCTTTTAATAACACCTCCAACAAGGTAATCTAATTACCCCATATATTACCAACAATAAATATTATTTAGATAAAAGATTAATGCAATATCTTATTACTTGAAAACCAATAAGGAATCTTGAAAATTAACGAAGATTATCGGAGTAATCTCATATGACCCTAACCATCGCAACCCTAGAGTGAAGCAGATGATAAGGATATGAATATAAATGTGTAACAATGACAACTAGGTCCGTTTGTTTTATTATTTTAAACCTTATTCCCTATCTATTCTCAAAATACTATTTTGTTTAATATTTGGGAAATACTATTATATTTTTTAATTTTTTAGACCCCTTAAGTTTATTAATTTAATTAAACACCCCTAATTTTTTTTTTTAAATTAACAAAAATACCCCCACCCACCCATAGGCTTAGAAACGACCGGAACTGCCGGTAATTCACCGTCTGGCCATTAGTGATAGCCAAAGAAATGGCTGTCGTTGACAGTCAATGACGTCAAATCTTAGCCATCGTTACCCAACGACGACCATATCTTTAGCTATCGCTGACGATCAAATCTGCCTTTTGTGGCCGTTGACGCTAATTCATGGTGGATTTGGTCGAAAAAGTCATATCGACTCACGATCAATTAGATCCACCGGTCTACGTCGCAATGCCATTTCTTGCTAGATTCTGATAGTGGTAGCCAAAATCTGATACATAGGTGAATGAGAGTATTTTATTATTTATAAAATTTATATATTTGGGATATTTAGTTAAATTAGTAAATTTAGGAGTTTTTTTATTAATTTTAAATTTTATCTCGTAATACTCACTTTATTTAATTACTTAATATTATTTTTAAAATTTTATCCAAAATAACAAACAAACGTAATATATTAAAAATTAATCTCATCTAGACTACCTAGCTCATATATGATCAAAATATTAAAAACTTAAGAATTAAAGCAGATATAAGGATGAAAATATTAAATTATTGTAAAAATCACATCACCGCCCCATTATATCTAAGTCAAAAGGAAAAGGCAGGGTGTTTTCCTAAAAAGAGATGGAGTAAAAAAGAAGGCAGGGCATCTTCATGGAAACGGCTTCAGACATCAAGGGATTTACAGGCTGTTTTTTTTTTCTTTCTTTTGGTCTTATGTATATTTATCGTATATAATCAAAAAGCTAAATTATTTTGTTGTTATTTGAACACAAAAAATTTTAAATAATAAACAAACTCTTTTTGCCAATAATACTCATATCAATTTATGAAAATTCTGATAAAATAAACTGCTAATATGGTTTAAACTCTAATAATTGGGCTTTTTAGCAAGATTGCATAAGATCATCATAAATATTTTTTGAATGATATTTGATTGATAATTTCTTTATTTTTTAAAATTAAAATAGGGTGGTGTTGAACTTTACCTGTATAATCACCTTGGATCTTATAAAATGTTAAGAATTTTAGAGTTAATGAATCCACCTGGGTTTTATTGAATATCAAAATCTCTCGAGGTTTCAAAAATAACAAAAATCTATTTATGTTAGAACTTAATTATAAGTAAGATATACTTGATAATCATCATTTTGACATCTAAAACTTAACGATTCTAGGTAATAATAGATTTTTTGTTATTTCTAAACCACAAAAAAATTAGTATCTTAGCTGTAATTTTTATTGCTTCCCATTTTACTTATGATTTTATAAATCCTTGTTTTAGTTCATTTGCAAAAAGTGATTAAGGATTAAACAAATAGAAATTACATAATTGTATTCAACCCAGTTAGGGAGTTGATGATATACACCCGAATGGTTGTCATTTTGAAATTTCTCTTAGATTTTATTGTCAGCAATGGATATCTTGTCGAATATAATTTAATTAAGTATATTGGATGAAGCTACTGCTATGTTAATGTAGGTCATATTTGGTTTTTTGGATAGTTGAATGATGTTGATTGCTCCTTATACTATTGGAACATAAAGCAATAGACATGCTAATTCAAAGAAATTCCATTAGTTTATTAGAGAAAGACTTTTAAAGGGAAAAGTAGAAGAGGAAACACTTTTCCATCGCTTTACTTCAAGGAAAAGCAATTCATTGAGATAATTTC